TCTGTAAGTTGTTGCTATACTCTGTTAGTTTCCAGAGCCCTCGGCATCCCCTGCAGAGTCGTCACCAATTATCTGTCAGCCCATGACACCAACAACAACCTGGTGATTGAACGCTACATCAATGAAAATGGAGAACCCATTCAATCCAGAGAAATGATCTGGTATGAACTGGCTATGTTTTATGGATGCAAGACTACAGTAGGAGGCAGGATTGTGTAGTATTAATGTACTTGGAGGAAAAAACTTTTACCAGGAGAGATATTTGTGCAGAATTAGGACATTGTCAGGACTACTGTGAATTCTTTGAAAGTGAAAGTATAAAACTCTAAAGGCTATTTAAAGTGTTAGGTGTGTCTTCCTCTTTGAAATGTAGCACGGAAACAATTTGCATGCAAACCAAAAATATTTCCTTAATTTGGGCACTTTTAGATTATTGTTTTTTGATCACAGATTAAATGAAAGATTTCTTATATAAATAAATATAGAGCTCTATTTAATCAGATGGCCTTCTTGTTCATTTAGAACATCCTCTTGATTTGATTATTGACTATGATTTGATCATACAGTTTCAGAGGGAAATGATTTGTGTACTAACAGTGACAGTAGAGATTTACACAGTAGATGTTTAGTTTACTGTTTTTAAGTCCAGTTATAAAATATGCAAAAATAGAAAGTGTTGATGGTTTGTATTGTATCTGTAGGAATTATCACTGCTGGGTGGAGAACTGGATGACCAGGCCTGACTTGAAATCTGATTTTAATGGCTGGCAGGCCACTGACCCTACACCTCAGGAGAAAAGTGAAGGTAATGAACATGCAGCATCAATGAACCCACGAGGCCATTTTTGATCGAGGCCAACCCTCACCAAGGTGGATCTGTCCTCTTTGCATTGTCAATTCCTTAGGGGTGTATTGCTGTGGCCCTGTCCCTGTCAGGGCCATCAAGGAAGGCGAGCTCACGTTCAAGTATGATGGCCCATTTGTCTTTGCTGAGGTCAACGCTGATATCATTAGTTTCATGAAGAAAAAAGACGGCAGCACATCGAAAGTCACTTCCACTACACTTGTGGGCCAGAACATCAGCACAAAGAGTGTGGGCAGTGACGCCAGAGAGGACATCACTCATCTCTACAAATACCCTGAAGGTACTACTTAAACATCACTTGGTCTTTAACATAAATTGTGTATGTTATTACAACACACCATAGAACATGACCTTAATAGTACAAACCTCCTCTGCATACCAGCAGGTCACATCACGGTCATTTGCTGTGTAGATTCTTTCATTCCTTATCAGTATTTGTGTTGCTCTTAATATACATAAAGTCAACTCTTAACTGCCTTTGTTAAATAAGGTCAGGTGACCTTTCATTTTGTTGCTTCCATGTTTCCATGTTAGGCTCTAATGAAGAGCGAGAGGCTTTCAAGAAGGCTGACCACCAAAACAAGCTGCTCCATCAGCAGCAAAATCAAGGCCTACACCTCACCATCAAGGTCACATCAGACATGAAGAAGGGATGTGACTTTGACGTGTTTGCCTTGGTTACTAACAACACGCAAAGCACGAAGAAGTGCCGCCTGGCGTTTGGATCCTCTGCCGTGTCCTACAATGGGTTTCTGAAAGGGAACTGTGGTTTTAAAGATCTGCTCAATGTTGAACTCTCACCAGGAGCAGGTGAGCCAAGTCGCCAAGTGGTGCTGTCAGATATGAATGCTTTATAAACTTGACTTTTCACTGTGAGTATTAAATATATTGCACATGTTCTTTTAGAGAGGCGAGTTCCACTAAGGCTGAACTACTCTAAGTATGGTGAGCTGCTCACTGAGGACAACTTGATCCGTCTGGCAGCTCTGTTGTTGGACTACACCACCAGAGAATCAATGCTGGCAGTGAGGAACATTGTGCTGGAGAATCCTGATATCAGAATCAGGGTGAGTACAGTGACCTGAAAAAATACTTAAAGACAGCAGTATTAAAGCTGGGAGTCAGGTCCACACTTCAGGATGTCTTCTGATGAATATTTTTTTGTCTATTATTACTATTACTATTATTTTTATTAGTTAGCCTATACCTAGTTGATGATAAGCACCCCCAACTCAGGGCCATTTGGTCTCAGGATGTATCCTGAAACAAAAGGGAAAGTAGCAAAATAAGATTCTTGAGCTTGATGCCATCCTGTTTAAATTATATCTAATAATATAATATTATTTTAGAGAGATTGTGTATATCAAGATACATATATCACAGAATAGGTTGTGAATCATAATTATTGAGGCGCATGAAAAGAGTCAACTTCCAAGAGTCAAGTATATGATGCATATGATGATTAAGATTGAGATCATTTTCATTCTCTTCCTCATTATTACCATCCATATTTTGATAGATTTCTTTGTGATTGGAAAAGTTAAAGTAAAAAAAAATCACTAAACCCATGTCAAGGGGCCTACAGTATGTATAAACAGGGCTTGGCGCAAGCAAAATGGTACTTACTGTGTGACTTTAATAAAGTAACACCGAGTGTTGGCTGTGCTCTGCAGATCCTGGGTGAACCAAAGGAGAATCGGAAACTGGCTGCAGAGATCACCCTCCAAAACCCTCTGCCAGAGCCGCTGGAGGCATGCTGCTTCAGCATTGAGGGGGCCAACCTCACTGGGGGTTGCGTCATCTCTGAGAGGTTGTATGAGTCCCTAGAAATGATTATTCTTCACTCACACAGAGCAGTCATAAATTAGTAACTGTAACACAATGAACATTCATGTTTACTTAGTAATTTAGAAAAAAAAATTCTCCAAGACACAAGAAGAATAATAAAAAAATAAAAAAAATAAAATCAATATATGTGAAAGGACGTTGAGCAACAAACAAGCTCACCAACACAACTCATCCTACCTTTTTGACAATGACAACATATGGGCTTCTTTTGGCCATTTAAAAAAAATCATCATTTTGTGTGTAATGGAAATATTTCTTCCCCAATTTGATCTCCAAACTCTGAGATATGTCTTATAATGTTTTATGATTTGTTACACTGGTCTTGGTGCCACGTCCAGATGTCTGACTGGATGTGCCCCTGTTTAGTCAGGACAGAAGCCCACTGGTAAAAAAAATACAGCACAACCATTTACAGGAGCAGACACGAAAATTTAGAAAGAATGCACTGAAATACCAGTGAGGTGGTTTGTTATTGCTTAACAATAAACTCTCTATTAATTTATTTGTATATTATTATATTGTGTATTCAGTAAGTAGCCATTCAATTACTTTACATGAATGCTGCTTGGGATTTCTGACTGCATGGCTGCAGAAAATGAATAATGAAACTGTTATTAAAATATACATATTTTTCCAAACTTGTACTCTTCTGTTAAGCAGTTAGATCAGCTCCATCTGTATAACCTCCATAAATAGTTAAAACTGTCATGAGTGCTATGTCAGTGGTAATTGATCATCTAATTATTTATGCCATCAGATTTAATATTTAAATATTTATCCTACAGGCTGGGCTCCTCAGTGGGACCCGGGGAAGATGCCAAAGTGAAAGTATACTTCACTCCCACCCATTCTGGGCTGAGAAAACTGGTGGTCGACTTCGACAGCAACAAGTTGGGTCACGTCAAGGGCTACAAAAATGTCATTATTGGAAAATAAAGCCTATCACCCATTGCAGTCCATTAGACAGCAGTATTCTTACTCTTTTTTCAGAACTGTTAACTGTTCAGCTATCTAAAGATCAGCAAACGCACCTTCTTTTGCATAATGTTGAATACATAAATTGCTTTGCTATTCAAATACTTGAATTTTTATTCAGAGCCAGAGATAGTAAATGAGACCTGAGCTTTATACTCATTAAGGCTAATCAAAACTGAACATGATAAACAAACAGAATATGTACTTTCTTCTTTCTTCTGACAATCTGAAGTGATGATTAGTATTTTAACTACTATGTACTATTTTTTGTACTTTTTCAGTGCTACAATAAAAAGTTACACGTTTATTATTATTTTTTCATGTTTCAACCAGTCAGACTTCACACAATCTTCGATCTTATTGAAGAAAATGTGTTCCACTGAGAAGATGAATGAAATGTATAGATTCCTATTTGCACAGTCTACCTACAGCAAAGGTGATGAGGCAGAATGTGGTGAAATGGCGATATGGTAAGAACATACTGTATTAATGTCAAACAAAGCAAAATATTTCTTGTTCGTGGCAAGCTGCAGCACTACTCTGTACAATTTGTACAACAAGTTTTTGTTAAAATATAACTATACCGTAAACACGTCTATGGGCATGCATGTGTGATTGGTTTTCCTACAAGAGGAAGTGCTGCTCCCTTGTGGCCACAAACAGTAATTGCAAGTATTAAAAACAGCTGGAGAACTTCAGTAGAAGGAACTGGCTGGCTGCAACACACAGCTGTTCATTTGTTAATAGAATTACCATTAGTACAATAGTCTAATATTGGGATTGTATATAAAAAGTCAAAACTGAGTTACACACCCTTTTAACATTCTAGTAGAAACTTTACTACTTTTGGCAAGTATGCAGAAAATGTTTGTCTTCCCATCCTCCACATGTATTAGGTTAAACACCATGAAATGGGATTTTACCAAATTCAAATTAAAGACACACAAGGATCTACAAACCAATTTGTCTGCTGCTGAGGACATGGCTTACCCACACTCTCACTAACATACAGTGTTTTGCTCCAATAAACAGTAAAGATAAATGATAAAGAACCATGGATCAAATGTAAAAATACTAAGAGTCTGTTATGTTACCCTTGACACTCTTGTAACATATACATGGGACAAAGGTTTTTTAAGTATTTTGTTCGCTTTAAAGTGTACTCACTACTGCTACTAAGTCTTCAACATATTCAGACTCGATTGTAACAATTGTTAAGAGTTTAATAAAGTACAGAACTCAAAAGCAGAATCACGGAGAAAAGAAAAGACCAAAGTTATTTCAAATGAATGTATTTAACAGAACAGATAGCAAACAGTAGCACTTAGAACCAACACAGTTAAGAGGAGATTGTGATTCAGATGACAAACTCCATAAAGGTTTAGACAAAAAGTTGTATTGTGGTTGAGAAAATGACAACATAAGTTTGGAGTTAACAACATACTGTAGTTGTGTTTCTTGAGCCATTTGGTAAAGTAGCACAGAGTAAACTTTATTTTATGACGATAACAGTGAAAGTCTACAGTGCCAAGAGTGAATATACACAAGAATTTATATATTATCTTGATGTGATCATGAAGGCATACATTTTTTAGTTTGACAAACATTCTAGTATACAGCCTTGTCTTGTATGGAAAGCTACATGTGGATACTTTTCTCTCAACGTGTATGTAAACAAAGATTACATAAATTAAATCAATGCACTTTGAAAAGTTTTCAGATGAATGAAAAAAAGCTTAATTTAATTTAATTATTAGAAAGCATTTACACTGAAATACTGCAACTTTTGGCATATGTTTTGCTAAAAGACAGTAGAACTGGCTCGTTGCAAGGGAAATGGTCTGTTCTGTGTCTGTATCAGTAAATTGTTATTTATAATAATTCCGACTCTTCACTGCCATGTATTGTAACCTCTGGGTGCTCGACCAATGAAAGAGTCTTGCTCGGACAAAATAACAAAAAAAATTATCTGTTGTTACAGCCTTAATGTCACATTAACACAAACTTAATGCAATAGGAAAAAGCACAGAGACAAATTACAGAGCAACAAAAAGGACACAACCATGTGTACTGTCAATAAAATTGTGCCTTTTATTGGCATTCAATAGCATTGGCATCCAAACAGCAATATTAAAGATTGACAAACAAACCGTAGAACACAAAGGGTCCAGTTACGTCTGACGCCTCAGCTCTGTGGTGTGTTGATGGCTGTCCCTGTTTAGAGATAAGTCAAGAACATGCAGACAGACAGGCAGACTGCCCGCTCTAAAGCACACAGCTCTCATTACAGTCAGTGGTGCCAGCTGATCTCCTCTTCAGTTCCCTGCCCTCTGCTTGGTGGTGGGGGTGAGGGTGGTTCCCCTGTGACCGGTGCCCTGGCTCCTGCAGCTTGACATCATCCAACCCCTGACTCCTCTCTGACTCCACTTGGAGGTAGGCGCGGACGCGGTGATGCTGCGCCACGGTGCCGCTGAAGTCAATGACGCGACACTCGTACGTGCCCTCGTCTGATGGCTTCACGTTGGAGAGACGGAGCTTGTGGGAGATGTTGCTGCCAGCCACTTTTACCACCTAACGGGGACAAAAGATGATGTAGCCATATGGTAGACATAACATAAATGAAATGAACTTTATTGGCATTAACAGTCAATGAAACATCCATGAATGGAAATATACAGATGTGTGACAATTTAAAGGAAAAACCAACACAAAGCTGCTAGTCTCTGGAACCCTCTCCATTCTCCCATAGGTGTTGAAATGATTCACTCTATTTGCATTCTCATTAAACCATCCAATGTCCTCTTGTGTCCTGTATGAACGCATCTGTGTTTTCCATGTTTCTCCACTCATTCATTCAGATTTTTCCTTTAGTTTGTCACCTGTCTGTATCTTCTCTCTGCATCTATCTTTGGTGTGCTAGTTCAGTTGATGATAGATCAAACTTACACTAATTTTGGTGGCATCTTTGGACGTTTCCTCCATGGGTACAACCTGCACAGAAATAAGGATGATGCATGAGAAACACAACGTTGATCAAGGCTGCACTTTTCTAAAAATATCTTATGCTAAAAATGTCTCATTTCATTGACGTACTACAGCAAAACATTAAAGTGGACAAACATGGTTGATGTTGTCTGCACTGTTTCTTAGCAAAACTTAGCTTCCCTGGATTGCTGATCTATTGTACCATTTTCTCTGGTGGTTGAGCTTTATGCATATTTGTGTGTGTGTGCAGGCTCATACATGCCTGTTTAAATGTGTGTATGAGCACACACTATACAGCATCAAGCACGTAAGCCTCTGAGCAGGAGTGTGTATGTGAATGTGTATGCAGAGGCACAGAGGTATTCTTTTGGGCATAGGTATGAATTATGCATGGAGCAGACAGAGATTTTGAAAATCTATTTCTTTCTCAGTGCCAATTATAGTGTCTAGAGGCACAACAGGGGAGCCTGAGTTCCCCCATGATGGGAGAGAGTCAACCTGTTCCCCCAGTGCTGGCAAATGCTAATCAGCAATTATCCCTTCGTTTTCATGCCAGAGGGTTTCTGCCATGGCTAATATTGCTTTTCCCTCCGCCTGATATATAGTAAGCTTTAGGTTCAGTCCGAGCAGTTCTGTCCGAATAAATTGAACTGCAAAAAGTGAAAAAGGTAAACTGAAAATGAACTTTGTAATTCTACTTAACAGATAAAAAATGAAAGGATTAACCTTGATGAAAAAATATTGGTTGCTAAATAAAAAATACCACACAACCTTGAGTAGGATAAAAACAGAAATAGATTTTTTAAAACATGGACAGTACAAAAAGAATAGGTTGGCTATTCACATATGAAACATTTAAGTTAGACAGTTACTTATTATTGGTGTTTTTCTTTTTGTTTTGTCTATGTGTTAGTGGATGTCTTGCTATATTTGTGATCTATGGTATACAGCTTTGCAATCTAAGAGGAATGAGCAAAATGTTTGGAATGAAAAAAACTAGCTCACCATAATAATAATACAATTTTATTCATTTCCCTGGCAACTGCAGACGTACCTCCTGGGGTAGAAGTATCCTTGCCATACATTAAAAACAACAACAAAAACCTGTTTTCCCTCTCAGCTTACATTATTAGTGATCTGTGGAGGCTTCTCTTGCCAATCTCTGTGGTCCTTGATGTACCACCACTGGATCTCCAGGGAGTAGGAGGGAGAGCCCGCCCCACGGAAGGAGCAAGCCATCTCTACATCCTCACCGCTCTGTGTCGTGATGTCGTGTGGCACCTCTGTAAAGAGAGCTGCAAAAGAGAAAAAAAAGAATAACAGAAGAAATGAGAGATGCTCAACAAACAGTAGCCTAGTTGTTGGATGAAACTGTTGCTAAGGTTACTCAGTGGCCATTTTTGGGTATAATCCATCATGTGTAATCAATTATGTGCAGCATATTCATATTCACTCTTTTGTAAATTTATCCAAATACTGTAGCTCCTTCGCATTTGAATACGTTTTTTGTTTTTGTTTCAAAGGAAGTTTGAAGACTGCAGAATATGAACCAATTTAAAAGAGTGTCAGGAACATTATATAATCCTTCTGTCGATGGTGCAGCAGTCCATACTAATTTGGAATTAAGGTCTCATTGCATTTCAATCCCACACGTATAAGACCAACCACCTACACAGAGGACATCATTTTCTGTGTATTGGCATCTTGTAATGGTCAGTAATTCAACATAACAGCACATTTTCCATCACAGATCATCTGACTCAGCAGTATGTGTGTGGGGGGACACTTTATAACCTTTTTAGTCTATAGATGCTTCACAATGGAGACATCAACTGGTCTAAATGCACCTTCCTCTATAAAAACACACTGAGCTTTCTTAAAACACATTATAAAAAAAACCCACAGACAAATCTGCACCATCTGGTGACCGTGATTAAATGTAACAAAGAAAAACAAGAAAAACAAAAACCATGAATGAGATGTTATTAAATTAAGGGACAACTTTTCATTCCTCTGTTAGATGTTACAAATTTAACTTGTCCATCAAATTGATGAGTGGTGACTTCATATTAAATAAAAATTATATATTTATATATATTACAGCTATTAGAAATTGCTACAATACTAAATAAAGCTGGAATAGAAACAGCCTTAACCCAAACACCAGTCAGAAATGACATGAAATAAAACTTGGCAGCTTTGCTCTTTTGTACAATTAACTTCTACACATAGAATCAATACAAACACCACGATAAGGTTTAATATGATTAACTTTGATCTCGTTATCAGTAGGAGTAATGCTGTGCAGGCAATATTAATACAGAACTGGTCATTCTAATTAATATACTGGATAGTGAAAGTATAATGCACATAAACTATCTGAGGAGATGTGCATTGATTAAATGTAAATGTACAGTACCATACTACATTGAGCCTTGTTTTCAAACACACCAATTACACACTTCATCCTCAACTCACCCACTACTTTCTCTCTCATTCTCACTAATTGCATTGATTTATATGAGCGCATTCAAGAAATATTACAGGAATGAGAGTGCTGAACAAACAATTCAGCAACCTCCTAAACACTCCCACTGATTCAAACTCAACATATATATAAATACATTTTATAAAATTCTTAAAACTCATTAACAGCACACATTATCTAGTCACTCTAGGGATTTGAAATATGAGACCAACTCTTTAGTGAAACAGTGAAAAGTTTCATGTAGAGCCCATCATCGTACATCAAGTGTCATAAGAGAATAAACTGGCTGTTCTAACTACAGGTAATATTCTACCTCTCATCTAGAGAACCATCCTCTTTCAGAAAACAGGATATATTTAGACCAGGTGAGCCAGAGAGAAGTCAGTCACCGTATCTGTAATTGGCATTTACCCGGCCTTGTGCAAAACTGATCTGGTGGTGAACAGGGAGATGTAAGGAAAAAGGCTGAGAATAGAGGGATGGTCGCAAGGGCTTTGGTGTCGTTTGACTGACTGGGCCCTCAGGAGTCGTGCCCTTGATACACTGCTGCTTGCGGTCAAGCAGTCGCCTAATTTGTCAGGAGGACACTTACTGTAGGGATGGCGCCAGGCTGGGGCCAAGAAGAGTAGAGGAGGAGGAAAGAGAGGAAAAGAGAGAAAAGAAGAACAAGGGCAGAGGTGAACTGAGGTGAGTGTGCTGAGAAGAAAGATGAGAAAGACAGATGGAAACGTGATAGGAAACCCTGAGGGAGGAGAGACTGAATCCGCACATACATTGTTAGTAAAGGAATGACATAGAGAAAGGTATGCACACAGAGCTGCATGTAAAAGTGAACTGATACAGCCTGTATGTTTATAATCAGTGAACCTGGCCCCTGTAGATGTATAGCAGTTCAGTGTTGTCTTCATGACACTGTTGTCCAGCACACTACTTAACAATACCTATTAGCGGCAATCAAACAGTTGTTTGTTCTCATTTTGCAATGTGTTTTTAATTTCATAAAGCAAAATGTTCACTGCCAGTGTTCCTTTTAGCTTATATTTTTGGAATATTTATACCTGGAAATATTTAACATCAATCATTCAGTCAGACAAAAAGAGAAAAAAGCTTTGCACACAGCATTTACTTCAGTTAATGCGCTGCCTGCTGTAGCTATATTCACAGACCAAAGTCACTTAAGGACTAACACAGATTAGAAATAAACACATTTACTGCAGATACCTGGTAAGCTACTGAGTAATCTATTTAAAGCCACAACAGTATTCAAAATCTCTCCATATGTAGGATTTAAGTCCTGGGAATGTATCCATAATTATGCAAGGTGTTAAATATGTGGATGTGTATGTGTTTTGATGGCAACATGAAGGTTCATTATGTATGAGCAGACAGCACTTAATGGTAAAAAAAAAACACACCCCAACACATTGTAGCCACTTGAGAATAACTTTTTTTGTCTTGCTCCCCTGTCTGTAATTCAAATTCTCTTGAGATTGAAAAATAACAGATGAGATAAAGATACAACTCAGTCAAACTCAGTCTATCTCTCCAGTCCTGTTACACCTGTCTTACAGCATGAGTCCCTCTTACGATGCTGATAGATACAAGGACAGAGAACATACTTACTTCCTGGTTTCTGAGGCTCATGTTTGAAGGCTCATATGGAACAGAGAAAGCACAAATCTCCGATCTGTCAGCTATAAGCAGGTCATGTGAGTGTGCTATACAACACATGGCCTGAAGCTATAACGTATAAAAACACATGACCTAAAGCTATGTAATGTGACAAAAAAAAACATTTTGCTGTGATCAAAGTACAGCTGTGTGTGTGAGTGTGAACATCTTCACTTCGGAAACTTCCTGATAAAGATGGTGCGATGTTATTTACAAGCTCCAGAAAAAGCAATAGAATATAGAGTTCGATCTATAAGTCAGTCAGGTCGATATTGCCAGATATTAGCATACTGCAGATATATCTATCTATATAGATCTATATCTTGACTGATAAGTAATAAACAATTGCACTACAGAAATGCAAAACTAGGTTTGAGCTAATTTAGAAACTGAAACTTAGTTTGTCCACCAAAGAGCACTGACAGATTTTCTCAACTGTAAAATGTTTCAAAAGGCTCAGTTTTTAAAATAAAAAAATTCTAAGGGATCCTGTTGAAGATTGTTTATATTTAAAAAAGGCCCATATAATATTATCCTATTTTTTTAACTCCCCAATATGGATGACTCAAAAATCCAGTGTATCACTGCATTTTCTTAAAAAGAACCGGGCTCAAACACAAAAAGGTATTGATTTCAATGGTGGTCACTTTCACACATCTTTCCATTTTTTTTAACGTGCCACATATGCAGAGATAGAGGAGGAAAGGGAAGATTGACTTCATCCTTAGTTACATACAGTTGAATCAAGTTTAATCATCTGGATGCGCAAAACGGTAGAGACATTTTACAAGTACGCCTTATTAGGATTTCTTGTTTGATTCTTCTACTGTGCGCCACTATGTGAAACAAATAAAAAGCTGTCTTACAGATTTATTTTCATTATAAACTTTCAAACTGTCACTCCATACAAAACAGAAAAATAGATTGACAGATACATAACAAGATATCTGGAGCTGTTTTAAAATATCTATGTAGCTCCGTGTAACGAGGAGACAAAAACATTCAGTGCTTCTGCACAATTTCTTGTGATTTTTCTGCACAGTGAGAGGTAACATTCTGGGATAATTTCCTGTTGCTCTAACTGTTTTCAATGTCATTGTAGACTGTAATCACAGCTGGCATAATGATACACGTTCATCTGATGATGTAGGTCTTTCTTGATGGCAGGATAATCTTTCAGGATAAAAAAAGCAACGAAATCTGAAATCTAAGAGATTCAGAAATTACATCTGAGAAAAAGTTCTGATGATTATTACAAAGTTAGAAGATCCAGAGATTAAAATGTAATCAGACTTGGGGTGCCCCGGTACCTCACTTGATAGAGCTGGCCAGACCTGTCCTTGCTGCAAAGGCCATGGGTTTGAGTCCTTTGTGGCCCTTTGCTGTCATCCCCTCTCTCTCTCCTTTTTCTGCCTATCTTAAGCTATCCAATAAAGGTAAAGGTTGAGGTAAAATGTGGATTTGATGCCTTTGTGTCTTGAAACAGAGAAAAGGCATTTTCTTTACAGTTTTATGCCAAGGATATGGCTTTCTATAACAATTTAACCGTACGTTTGAAAAAGCACTTTCTAAGAGTGCTTTAAAAATTCTTTCTCCTCTTCAGTCATGTTCTTATCATTTCTTAAATTTGTCCTTCTTCTATACATCTTATTATTCTAGACTGGCACTGGCTGATGAAGAGCACAGAGGATATGACAAAACTTATCACAATGCCTTGAAATAATGTGTTTTGAACATATGGTGCCACAGCTGAAGCCTAGAATAGCAGAGAACTTCACTGTGCATAAAATATATGAGCAAAACAACAGAGGGTGGCATTTCAATTGTCTGAGTTTTCTTAGTATTCGATGCAGGAGCTGGCACTTTTTTTCATCCTCAAGATACAGTATCAACAGCTAGCGGCAGAGCACAGACAGCAGCATCTGTCACTTTGAACAGGCTGTGTTCCCGCAGACAAAGGGATGTTTATGGGACAGAGTAAAAAACATAAAGGATTGAGGAGTGAGCACAAAAAGGATGATATGGGAAAAAAGTAGAAAAATACAATCTTAAAGCAACATTATGTAACTTTTCTACCTTAAAATAACATCTTTAAAGTCATTTTGGTCATGCTACACTGATATGCTGCATCTTCTA